CTGTATTAAGACTATTTGAACCATCTTGAAAAAGGAAAGCAGGGGAAAGGACAAATCATACTACCATGAAAGTGGAGCATCCTTTGGTGATGCGGGTGCCTCTCATTTAAAAGAGTACGCTAAAACATTATTTTACCTAAAAAAATTGCTTCTTCATCTGCTCCTTCATTAATATTCCGTTCTTTTATTCTTTAGTAACATACAATATTCATTAGATTAGCCATTCTGAAAAAAACGGAAATAAGTCTAGTCTTTTTTTTTAAATGTCTGTTTGTGGTTTTGCGTCTAAAGAGTATGCTACCCATATTTGGAGAGAATAAACTAAATCTGTTTGCCTGGTCTGCTCTAACCTCCTCTGACACAGTAAGCTAACGTTTTCATCGAGCAATTGTTTTAACTATATTATATTCATACAGTTTAATGTTTAAACAATTAGCTTTTTTGTGGCTGGTTGATATTTACAGGAATCTTTGCAGCAACAAGGAGGAAATGTAACTGAACTGTTTAAAGCACTGAGTTTTTTATACCAATAACTCTGTGGTTATTTGTCGGCCAGAAGAGGTGAAGCTTTTATTAACGCACACCACCACAACAACTACTGACTCATGTAAGTTCTAACACACTGAGACACATTAAAGCAGTAGGACAACTACACTTTGATAAACATTTGAACAACATTTTGTGTTAATTCATAAAAAAAAAAAAAAACATATTCATGGGTATGAAAAGGTTGGTTTGAAGACAGTTGTAAAACATTGATAATTAGTGTCAAAAAATATGTGGTGTTAATCACTCTGTTAAGACAAAGACTCTTCAGTCTATTTTAGACTGGACCATTTACAGGTAGGGGGCGGAAATGTATGTTTAGTCAGAATGACCAACAATGCAAAAGCTTTTTTCTGTAACCATAACAGTGAAAAATGCAGCTGCAAAATAAAATGTTAAGTAAAAAGCGCTTTATTATGTACCGAATGAGCTAGACTTTAAATTTAAACAAATGCTTATCTGTAAAAAAGACATTTGTTGCGTCACATCCTTTGTTATCGGATTAGGTCAAACCTTTCTTTATTGACTTCCGTTGGTCCTGCCTTTAGATTCAGGCTTTTAACGGTAGTGCAGGAAATTAAGACTTTGTTTTAGCTCCCTCTAGATAAACAACTCTGTGCCATGGAGATAATCAGCCTAGGGCAGAGGTCACGGATTAGCGGACCAGGGTCAGAATCCAGACCCAACTTGATTTAAAACATTTATAAATTATTGCATGTTGTCCGACATCAGTGTCTAAAGGTCACTTGCGCTGCGTCTCCTGTTTGTACGGTAAAACCATTTGTAGCCTCTGACACCAGGCTGCATGTGATGCATATTAGCCAATGAGCTGCTGTCAGTCTGGGTTAATGCTGGTAGAAACTTTTAGACACAGCAGGCAAACCTGTGGCAAGCTGTGCAATGGGAAAGAAGGAGAAGACGATGAGAAAAAGAAAGCAGAGAAAGTGTGGACTGCTGGAAAAACCACGGCGAACTGGTGAAAGAAAAGTGAAATGGTGCTCAAAGATGACCCTGCACATTTAGAGTATGTTTGGCTCAACCTGCTGCTGTGAAGCAGGATTCTCCACCATGAACAGAATCAATATGAATATCGATCCAGGCACAAAATGAGCACCTTGATATGTGCTTTAGAATGGCTCTGTCTCCATTCGAAACCCACTCTTAAAGCCTTGCTAATCAGCCTAAAACCCACTGCTCTCATTAAGCCATAATAAAAGAAGGTGTTTTATAAAAAAATATATGAAATTTCTTTAAAATTATAAAAGATAAAAAGATATATTCAGGTGTTTTATAAAAAAAGTGAGTCAGGAAATTGTCTATATACCAAACTGAAAGATTATTGTTCTCTACTTCAAAATAAATTTAGATTTTAAAATGAAAAAACTTTTTTTTTTAATATATTTTTTTATTTAAAAATTCAATGTATAACATCGATGCATAAACACCTGCATTTTATTTCAGTGTTAAATGCTGTTTAAATTAATGGGTTATAACTAAAAGTATTTTGGACCTTAACTGGTTGATGATTTGCTATAATCGAACCCCACTGATTTTTTATTGGCTACCCCTGAGAATTATCACTGTTTTATCTTTTTGTTTATTATGAGATTGTCTTAGTCTCATTTGTTTATATCTATAAAACACTGAAAAGAGCACATATACAGGAGACATGAGACGGCACAGAAATACAGAGCTTTAACTCTTTTGCATAATGTCATTTTGTGTCTCTGAATTTTAAATGCAAGGAGTAGCATGTAAAACTTAGGTAATGGTCTGAGAATCTGCCCTTAAGATGCGGCACAAACAACTTCCTGCTAATTAAGCTCCAAGCAAATTTTTTCGTCTGAACCAGACGATGAAAACAGTTTTTTTTTAACTGCTCAATAAAATGTCTTGGTCTACTGTTACAGTGTTATGGAGCCAGAAACCAAACTGATAAGTGTCAACAATATTAGTTACAATATAGTATTACTTATTCAAAATAACTAATTTTTTAATCAAAAATCTACTTTTGAATTATTTTACTAATATTTTACCTAAGCAATGTTGGGCACTTTTCTTAAAAAAAGGACAACTACTTATAGTTACTAGTTACTTTTTCCCAAAAGTAACTGACATACTGCTCTATCAAAATAATTCAATAGTTAATTTTTATATCGTAAAAGTGAATTAGGATAACTTTTCTGTGCTCTTAACATTAAATAGTTTACTGTCACAACAGGATGTCCAATTAACAAATACAGATTTTGGAATGTTAATTAATAAATCACATAATTAATTATTCAAAAGACGACATATATGAAAACATTGTACGCTAATCTGGACCATTTTGGTGTTTTTATTGGAAATGTAAGCTATGACACAGAAGTGAAAATATATTTATATAGATGTGATTATGTTTGAGGTTTAATAGGTTTAAAATCATAAATAAGAAAAAATACTGGCTATAAAATGACAATAACTTTTAAAATAATGCCTTTTTAAGTAATTTAATAAAAATTAAATACAATTGGGATCAAATTAAACAGGACACCCCAAATCAAACAAAAAAACAAACCAAAACCAAACAAAAACATTATGACCAGTATATGTTTGTAAAAATATAATGGTAGTCAGAAAAATGGTAATAAATGCTGCTTGAATGAAGAACACCAATCTCATTTCTTGTTAAAAAAAATAGGGTTTTTTTCTAAAGGGAAAAGTATTGATAAACTAAGGCGGCTGGTTTTAACGTCAGCTGTAGCTGACAAGCTGTGTTAGTTTAAATCTGCATGTATTTATTCTTTCTTCATGGAGATTTTTTTCTATTTTCCAGCTTTTATTGTCATTACACTGTCACAAGCAACAAAATTAATTCTCTGCAATTAACCAATACCCTTGAGGAGCAGTGGGCTGCCATTGTGCGGCACCTGGGGGGCAGTGTGGGGTTAATGGTTTTTTACTCATGGACACAGAGTGGCAGTTCGTGGGAGTGGGGCTCGGACTCCGAACAACAGGATTCCAAGCTCTATGCCCTAACCACTGGGCCGCCACTCCCCGATAATCAAACCACAGGGAATTTTAGCCTTTGACTTCCAGTTTAGGAACGCCTGCAAATCTGCCACTGAAAGTCACTTTCTGTTGAACCCATTTTCAACCAAACATCGTCCTTCCTCTAAACTTTAGTTGCACTATGTGACCAGTAAGTTACTTGCAATGGCTATTCATGACTTGGCCTTCATGTGGAGGTGTGGAAAAATAACAAATCAGCAAACATCTTTGACACTTGCATTATAAGATATTCACATTTTCCAAGAAATTGCATTGCATTGCATTTTGGATTTTAATAGTTGTAAGCCATATTGAATAAAGCAATACATATATGCATTTAAGTAATATGACTTAAACCTTTTCAAATGAAAAACTGAAAAAAGATTTGTTTTTCACTTTTAGCATCTAACTTCTTATCATGCATCTCAATCAAATCATTTGCAGGGTTTTGTTTGCGACAAGTAGTGAAGTGTAACTTTTTCTGAAGAAATGAGGATGCTTCAGTGTAGGATTTACAGCTTCCAAATTTAAATGCATCTATTTACAAGTTTATGCAATGGTTCATGTTGCATCATTTCCTTGGAAAAAGCTGACAACCCACAGTGGAAAGGGTATATGAAAGTCTGTGTCACTGCGATCACTTTCGGCCAATGTCGTTTCAGCAAACAGCACACAGGAAATGCCTTCGTTCCTGCTTTTGACTCTGTCTCACAACTTTTTTCTTTTAACGATTAAAAAGCAGCAAATCATTGAACTGTCATAAATTATTTCCAAAGCAAAAACAATGTGAATACTCTGCAAAGTTTGGTCTGTTAGAACAAATGCATTGGAAAAGGTGAACACTGTTTCATTGTGACCTACAATTTAAAGAAAAACATTCAGGAAGTAGCAACAAGAGAAAGGGTGATGGATCCCCAAGTTGCAAAAGTATACATGCATATTTTACAGGAAATATGATTACACAGCATATATAGACATGCAAAACAAAGTGCAAATGAAGAGCTAGGGGATGCATAATTTAATAAAGAGAGATAAGCAGAATAATTACTGTAATAACTGAACTAAGTGAAAGCAATGATTCTTACAAAACCACTTAAAACCACTTTTTCCATGGATGTTCCAAATCCCCAAAATTAATGTTACTTCAATTTTAAAAGGTGGTAAAATGTTTTATTTGAGAACCTCAAAAAAAGAATATTTGACATTAAATTTCGATTTTCAATACAGTTCTATAAAAATAGTAATGAAAGATCTACAATGATACAATGAAACACCCATTTGTTCGTCAAGGCTTGCATATATCTAACTCTGAGGAACTTCTGTGTATTGCTTTGCTTTAAAGTAATAACTACAGTAAATAAAGGTGAAAGTACAGTAAATATCTTTCATGCCAGTAAATATGAAACTCATATCTGAGCACGTACCGTGCAGGAAGACCCTCAGAAACAGCACAACGACATACGTGAGGAGGCAGCAAAAACGACCACCAGCCATCTCTGTGGGGAGAGGAGTAGCGTCTGTTTCCTCTTCTGCTCTCTGAGCTTCGACAAGTCAGCTAAGGAAACAAAAATTCACAGAAGGAGGGGGTGGAGGAGGCTACAAGTAAATGCAAAAAAAAACACAAAAAAAAAACAAGCTGGCTGAACTGAGCGGTCTGATTAAGCAAAAGATAAAGGCAAGTGTATAACAACTTATCTGTGAGTAAGTTCACTAGATCATTTAAATCAATAGTGTTCTTTGCTGTATTTGGATTTCACCATGTCATACCTAAATGAAAAGATCATTTAACTAATCTTATTATTAAAGTTGAACCTAGTAGAATATAATCCATCTATCCAAATTATGTACCTGCTTTCACTTGCAGGGTTGGTGCATATTCCAAGCAGTCAGTGCATTTCTTTAAATTACGTTTTCAAGTACTGAGGAGAAAAAATCTACCTTAACAGTCCATCAACCAAAATTGGGATGACTGGTTATGAGTCTTTTTCATTGCTGTGGAGGAAACATCTTATTCACATTTCAGTCAGGACTTTTATAGGCTATTCCCAGATTTTCATTTTTTTTTTTAACCATTTAAAAAAAGATGTGTTTGCTTCAAATCATTGTCCTGTTTCATAACCAAAAAGCCAAGTGTACCAAACTGATGGGCTCCCCTATGATTTAAAAATGCGATTTAAGCCAATCCTAAGCAAGAAAGCAGTTACAGACCACCACACTACCACCACCATGTCTGACTATCAGTATGCCATTTTTATTCTGGTATTTTATTCTAAAATTACACAAGCTAAAAGAGAATGCACACACCCTCTGAAAATGTCACTCGTCTTTGGGATCATATGGCAATTCTTTGGCCTATGTTGCAGATTTTTGTATGTATGTTGGCTTATGTTACAGATTTTTGTATGTATGTTGGCCTATGTTACAGATTTTTGTATGTATGTTGGCTTATGTTACAGATTTTTGTATGTATGTTGGCCTATGTTACAGATTTTTGTATGTATGTTGGCTTATGTTACAGATTTTTGTATGTATGTTGGCTTATGTTACAGATTTTTGTATGTATG